AAAAGTCCCTGTTAGTTTCATTGTTGTTTAATACTCAACACTGCTATCTTGTGTTCACTATGTGAATACCAAGACACATGGTCACATGATGTCAGAAAAATGTTAGTATAGAGAAAACAAATTCACCCCTTTATCATGTTTTAACATGTTTTAAACTATATCATTTAATAGTTTTACCTTTCTAATAATTTGAGTAATAATAACATTATTATTATGTAGATTAGGCCTATAGAGATACGGGAATGGTAGCATGTGCTCGAAGTGCACACTGAGAAAATTGTCAGAGTGACAAAATGTCAGATTGGAAGAGATTCGTTTTGAAAAATCGAGAACATCAATAGACTTTATGTCAAACTGTACACTGTACATCTTAGTTAAGACTAGTCATGATTGATAGTGTTGACTGGACAATCGGTGTCTGTATTTACGCATGAAATGGAGGCACACACATCAAACAAGGATTAATGTATATTCATCATTAACAAATATTAATGTAGCCTTTAATCATCAGAGGTGGAAAGCAAAGCATAACATTTACTCGCATTACGTAATCGAGTTTGTTTTTAATTGAATTGTTTTTTGTTTTTTTTGTTTTTGTTTTTTGTGTGTAGGCCTACTTCTACTTTTTTAGTTTTTAAAATATTTCCTTTTACTTTTACCCAAGTATGTTTTGTTTGAAGTATTGTACTTCGCTATACATTTGAAATCATATCATTTACTGAGTACAAAATAATAACACAAAAAAAAATAAAATAAAAAAAATCACACTCCAGAAACTACAGCATTGGTTGAAGGGCGGGAGAACAAACACGCTAAAAAAGGTGACGACGCAGACCCAGCTGAAGATGAAAGCCCCTTGAATTCTTACGAAGCGAATTATGGCCAGTATGGAAATACTTGTAAAAAAAAAAAAAAGCGTGGTTGTCCTCGTGGATAGATATCCAATTTGCAAAAAAATGTGGATGCAAAATGGCTGCAAAAGGAGGATACATAGCACACCATCCTTCTTGCAGATAAGCCAGCTTACGCTAGGGAAAGATTCATCTTTTCTGAGATATTGAAGCCAAAAAATTATCCTTAAAGGGACACTTCACCCAGAAACCCAGTCATATTTTTAAATGGTCAGGGTTTATTCCCTTATTTTCCCCTGAGATGGGAGAAATAAGGATTTAAGTTCCTGCTTATTATAATGTAAAAATCGTCATTTTGCATCACGATAAGCAGGAAGTCACATTTCATTAGAAAGTGTAGAAACTACAAACTTAGTTCCTCATTATTCAAGGGTGTTGGACCCACTCATCCTACAGGCCTATTACAGATTAGTGGGTGACTTCACTTGCAGATACTGAATCAATATTAGCCATCTTGTTTGGAGGCTAAGCTAACAAGCGCTGTGGAGATAGGAAGTATGATAATGACGGAAGAAACTAAACATGCACATGGTGTTTTCATCATCTCACAAACAATTTGAGGATATGAATACAGCAACATTTCCAGAGCTGCTCTAATCAGCATTTTCATAATTTTATTTGAGAAAAACATTGTCTAATACACTTTGAAACAGGTCTTCACTACAACCCGTCAAAATAAATGTTCATTTTAACTTGGAGGAAATTATGACAGAAATATATTACTATTGTAGACATAGAACGTCATTTTCAAAATAATAATAATAATAATAATAATAATACAATTTATTTAAATATTATTTAAGGAATATATTTTTTATCCATGATTTCATTTAGTAAATCTGTTTTTGCAGCGCTTCCCCCAAAAATAGGGGGACACAAGTTTAAATTTTCATTTGATCACCACCGTTTTTGAGAATTTATTTGGATTAAATCATAAAAAAAGAAACGTTAATTTTCTGAATAAAATACATTTCATGGGACTATATTATTCTTAAACATTTTAATAAATTATTCATTTTTAAAAATAAGTTGTTAATCTAATTCATTATCAGTTATTGAATTTAATTGATTAGACATGTTTTATTGAAATTTATAAAACAAAACAGACAAATGGTTTTAAGTTTGTTATAATAAAAGCATTTGTTCTGAAACTCACACTGTGAAAATATCATACCATTACAACCCTACATGAGAGTCCCCCACCCCCGCTGTTAAAAAAGTCTCAGCAACTTTTACTCTAAGTACATTTTAAATTAGCTACTTTTTACTTTTACTTGAGTAATTTTTTAAACCGGTAATTTTACTTGTTCTTAAGTAAAATTTCATTGAAGTAGTACTTAAAGTTGAGAATATTTTATTACTCTTTCCAACATCTTGATATGCCACACCTGTAAGGTGGATGGATTATCTCGGTAAAGGAGAAGTGCTCACTAACACAGATTTAGACAGATTTGTGAACAATATTTGACAGAAATAGGCCTTTTGTGTACGTAGAAAAAGTCTTAGATCTTTGAGCTGAAATATACATTTCCCAAAGCGTTTTACTCTAAAACTTCAAGGTTTTACACTCATGGTTTCCGAATGATTGCTAAATGTAATTTTCATATTCATATGTTCAAACATGATTTCGTTATATGCCTCATTGAATAATTTGTTCTTTATGTTGTGAATTTATTGTTGTAAGTACCCAAAATACTTTAGCTTTGGTTGTCAAACTGACTAGAATTGCAATAGTTGCAACTCTATTCACAATTACTTGTTGAGATATTATAATATATATAAAAATGGTTAATGACCGCATTCGGCTGCAAATAATCGCGATTGATAACTTTCAAAATAAAAGTTTGTGTTTACATGATGTATGTGTGTATATTGTGTGTAATTATTTTGTATATATAAATACACAAACATGCTTGTATACATTAAAATAAATATTTGCATTTATATACTGTACATTTATTTATATTTGTATGATATATAAATATTTTATAAATAACACATTTTTCTTAAATACATACATATACATTTGTCTGTTATAATTGTCATTGTCAGATTATGAGATTTTGACTCCTAAATTCTTGTGTCGTGGAGAAAAAAACATGTCAGACTACACGTTGCTTCCTGACCAATCACCACGCGGCATCATTAACGACATGCGTGATGTCATCGAGAAGGCGGTTCTTCTAGCGACTGACATAAACAAACAATGGTAATGCTAGTTCCAGCACTCACTGAATCGCTGAAACTTCTCTGATATCGTTCGCTAGCATTTATCTTTGTTTACTCTATCATGGTCGTCACTAAGGAGAAACTATACGAGATAAAAGCGATTGATTCTCGCGTCCCGACGCATGGTAGGGCCGCATGATTATGACAAAAAATCCTAATTGTTGATTAGGATTGAAATTGTAATTGCGATTATTAATTACGATTATCGCAATTTACATTGGATGTTTCATATTGTTTGAATAGCTTTAAACTCATTTGGCCACGGGACCCACATTTCACCATATCATCAAACCGCTTTTTTAGGAATTATATAGGCCTATTATAATACATTTGTTTATACACAAAGATTGGCACACCCTCGCAAGTACTTTCCAACTTTACTTAACATACTCATAAAAATGTATAGAATATGACTAATACTGATAAATAAACAGTAGGCCTATGAGGTTAAGCTATTAAATAACAGTTTAGCAATTAGACAGAACGTAGGCTCCCTATTGGCCAGCATCACACACATGACCAGCGTTGGCCAATAGGGAGCCTACGTTCTGTCTAATTGCTAAACTGTTATTTAATAGCTGACGTACAAACCAGAAGCGTTGCGCTGTGACACTTCGTGAACTCACTCGGGGCCCACACAGAAGAACACAAATAGTTCGCTAATTAGTTCGTAGAAAAATCGTTATTTTTGTTTTTTTTGCACACAAAAAGTATTCTCGTCGCTTGATAAACTTAAGCTTTAGCCACTTTAGTCACTTGGACTATTTTAACATTGTTTCTACTAACTTTCTGGGCGGCAAATTTAAATTACAATAGAAGCCTATGGAGGAGTGAGATTCAGATTAAATAAAAAAATATCTTAATTTGAGTTCCGAAGATGAACGAAAGCCTTATGGGGTTGGAACAACATGAGGGTGAGTAATTACCCTGTAAAAATGAATACGCTTTATCAAATCAATAAAATTGTGGCAACAGATTACAAGCAATATTATTAATTAAATTGAACAAATTAGAATTGAGTAATAATTAATCAAATTATTCCTTAAAAGTTAACCATTTAAAATGAGTAAAGTTTACGCCAAAAAATGTCGCAAAAAATATCTCACTAACAGACAGATGTCAAAGATTAATTAAGAACTCGTTATTTTATATTGCCAACATTGAAGACACCTGATGTTAACAAGCAGAATCACTGAAGGAGAAAACGGTCATTTTCAAACAAACCTAAAACAAACACCGATCACCATAACGGTGACTTACATTTGCATTTTTTTTTTGTTTTACTCATTTTAAATGGTTAACTTTTAAGGAATTAATTTGATTAATTAATTTGTAAAATTTAATTAATAATATTGCTTGTAATCTGTTGCCACAATTGCTTTGATTAGATAAAGCGTATTCATTTTTACAGTGTAATTAATGACCGAATTTTTATTTTTGCGTGAACTAAACCTTTAATACAATGTTGGTATGAGCCACCAGTCATTTAAAAAATATACAAAATAGTGAAAGTTTAGATTAGAAATTCGATTAAATGTGCAGCAGTCGTCGTCTACAGATCACCACGTCTAAAGGATCATGCCAAAATCAGGCTGATATCGTGTAGTCTGAACCCAGCACTGTCATACCGACACAAACATATTCAGTCAGTAGTCAGCACAAAATTCATGATCGTATCAGGCCTACACGTGGGGTTTGGAGACCACATGCTATTTCAAGAATGAATTAAAGCAGACAGAAAGACTTAAGCACATCTACTCGTGCCACAGATGAAACATCACACACACACACACTGAGCACTGCTTTATTCATGCTCCTCTGGGAATTTATTAAGTGCTTTTTTTTCTTTTCTTTTTTTTTTCTTCCATTTCATTTGTATCACTTGCGCTCCCGTCTGGAATCGTGGTATGGACAGGGAAGCAACAAGAGTCAGTTCATGTTCTCAGGCTAGAAAATCATTTACATCACAATATTTTTTTTTGTTTGTTTTACTGACTTTGAGACCACAAACATTCCAGCAACACACTCTAGGGTAGATGAGAAACAATCAGAAAGCTTGACTTTTTGCATAGTATTAAATGAACAAAGACATTGAGTTTTTTATTTACAATTATTGTATAGATTATAAAATTCATAAAAACAAGATGGATGAACACTTTTCATTTACCCATAAATTGCTAGTGCGCCAAAAGTACCTGTGGCGTCATATGCTCTTTGTTCCACAAAACGCATGCTGCTAAGTACAGTACATAGAAGCTGATGTATTGCAAGAAATATTATTATTTGTGATTATTAGAATGCTGTCATCCTTCCGATTTATTGGTTCAACATTTTAAACTGCATCCGTTATTCGGCCCGTCAACACAGGGCGCAGAACTAAACTGAACTGAATTGAACTGAAGTGGCCAGTCATACCGTGAAAGATCTCGTCTGGAGTCAATCATTGCAGTCCACACACATTTCAGACAAACTTTCAACGCGTCAGAGGCGATTCTTTTGGTCAGTGTACAACAGTTGTGAGAATGGCTGTGAATGAGGCTTTTAAACACGTTAAAGGGATAGTTCACCCAAAAGCAAACAGGTCATCTTTACAATTGAAAAGGTCGTATCATGACGAAATGACTTCGTTTCAATCTTCTGAATGGTTCGACTTCAAAAGACTGTAGTGCAGAAGTCGTGCGGACGAACCGAATGATGACAGAATTGTAATTTTTAGGTGAACTATCCCACCCGATCTCACGGGAATTCGTACGAATTTTACGAGGTGGCTAATTCGTAACGATTTGTACGACCTTACTCGTACGAATTAGTACGATTTAGCTAAATCGTACATATTTTACGAATTAGCCAATTCGTATGAATTCGTACGAATGACCTACCCCTGACCCCGCCCCTAAACATAACCGTCACGTGGGTTTAGACAAATCGTACAAATTTGTACGAGTGAGGTCGTATGAATTAGTACGAATTAGCCACTTTTGAATCATTCGTACGAATTCGTACGAATCGGTCGTGAGATAGGGTAGGAACTATCCCGTTAACATGATAAAGATTTCTGGGAGGGAAAAAAACACGTTCTCTCATTGAGTATGCCTGAGCTAACGGTTAAAGCTTGTGCACCTCATCTTGATGAGGAAAATTGTCAACAACAACAACAACAACAACAAAAAAAGTCCAAATTTGGCGAAAAATGAGTTGCATATTACGTGTATGACATCATGCCTTTCTGATAATTGCAAAGAATATTAATGAATACATGGGTGACTTTATAAGTGTGCCTTCTGGTAGACGCTCATTCGTCCTTTAATTCTAGAGTACAATAAATAGTTAACGACTAGTGAATACTGTTGAGATGCTAGAGTATATTTACTGACTGCAGGAAGACAAGCTTGATTTGAACACAGAAGCACTAAATCTAAATTTACACCACAGAAATTCATTCATATCCGGATAGTGCAGAAAAGGATCATAAATGTGTGTGTGTGTGTGTGTAATTTTTTTTTTGTTGCGGTGTTGGTTTGGGTTTTTCTCTTTCTTTTAAGAAAAGAGTCAAAAGCAACATTCCTTATTGGTTTTGTTTCGTTACATTACATATTTCAGTTGTTCAAAGTGTCGTCAGCTCAGGAGCTGGGCTCGTTTCCTTCAACCAAAAGAAATCTACAAATCAAATGTCAAAAAAGAAGAATCAACACAATAGATCACAATATTTGAACACAATTTTGATTTTCATACAGAGATGCCAAATATAACTTAGTTTACACGTTTCCAACATAAAAAGCCATCGCAGCTTTCGATGGTCACACGGAACTGAAACTATTTTTATGTTAAACAGTATATACTTCTAAAGAAGATATTTAAACCCAACCTGATATATATTTATATATATATATATGCCCACGTTTGAGGCTGACCACAAGTTCATTGCAAGCGTTGACTTCGACGAAACCTTCAAATCCAGCAGAACCGATTGGATTTTCTCGGGGGCCGATCAGAGCCGTCGATCCCGACACTCGACTTTAATACTACGATGCCACGTTAATGATATATCCCACTATATTTTGGTTTCTTTTGTTATCCTCTAAAAATATCTACATTTTTTAATTTTTTTTTGACAAAATAGCAGGCAAGTCCAGCGCACAATTGGTAATAAAACACCTAGAGTACTGAACAATGTGAGCTGTCCCAACTACGTCTGCTGCGTGGTTTTGAACCCTACAAAGAAACCAGGACGTATCTACAAGTTTTTGTAAACAAATTACATTCTCTTTAGGACATAAATAAGTTAAAGTAGTTATTGAAGCAGAACAAGGCAACATGCCAACAAATAAAGATAAACTCTGTAAATATATATTTATAATGTGTCTATAAATATATATGTACGCTTAATAAATTCTAATTTCCATGGGTTTCTCTTTTCCGACAGGTGCAAATCTACTGTGCAAGTTGAGCCCTGCGACCTGGATACACCTTAATCAATAACCAAATAAATCTATACAATTAGATACATGCCACACACAATACTCACAGGTCAGTGAATCAGATAAGCTGTCGTAAAATAGCAGTCCACCGCACGTCCCACCAAATCAAATCAAACCGTTTAAATAAAAATAAAGGTTTCCGAATAAAAACCTGGGTAATGTACATTCATGCAGGAGCAACGATAATAGCTGAATTTGATTTAAATTACTCGTAATAGTCTGTCGTTTCCTCAGGAAATGGGAGCGCCGTGTCTGCGCTCGTGGTTTCTTGTATAGTTTCTCGAGTCACTCCGCGATCATCCGAGTCGTACGTTCAAAAGGAAAAAAAAAAGAAAGTGGCGCGACCACGCCTTCGGTCGACAGTTCGCATGCGCTCCGGAGTGCTTCTAAACGTAGAGTTTAAGATGACTGTGGAGATGATCTCATGGCTAAAGCGATGTCTCCAGACTATGAAGCGGGCTCCCGGGACTGGAGGAAGCAGCAGATTTACTCGTGTCGGTTGTCAGGTTTATACCGCTATCGATGGCGTTGTTGTTCTTGTTGGGAGACGTGGGCGGGCTGGAGTTCTTCCTCGCCGCCTCGTCAATGTCGATGTCGTCTATAAGAGGAATGTGAGGTGTGGAGTCCTCTATTCTAAACTCCGGATGAGTCATGAAATTGTGGATGGAGGTTCTGGAGTCGGGTTTTTCCAAGCCTTCGTAGAGCGAGCTACGAAATGCGTTCACAACACGTATCTGCGTGAGGAAAGAGAGCGGTGTTAAAGGGCTCGTAAAGTGAGTTGGAACTTCACATCACAAAGGAGGGACACCCCGTGGAGAACATTTGGAAAACGTTTGTAATTCACTTACTCTGCCGTGCACTGAGACGGTTTAAGGATTGCATTGAAAAGAACGCAACTCAAACTCAAGATAAGGAAAACATAGGCAATGCTCTTTTGTCCCGTTCAGAACACAATACAGTATACAGTGTAAGGTCCAATGTGTTGTATACCTAGAGACAAGCATTGTTAATTCAACAAAAATAAAAAAAGTTCAAAACAAAGGAAAACCAAAACATCATGCAAGTTGAAAACATCTCGTGGAAAGTTGGTAAGAGGAATAGATTAGATAGATCCAGGATGAGTTTCAAGGTAAACACAAAGTCAAAGCCAAAGAAAATAAAAGAAAGAGTACAAGTCTACAGAGACTCAATCGAGAATGACGGGGACAGGAGATCCTATGCTTCGAGAGCATAGAGTCACGACACGATGGAAGCAAACCAAAAGCTTGACAAGCCAACTCAACGACTACACACAACATGCAACTCGGGACAACACCATATGGAGATGAACACAGGCACACAGACTGTGGAATAAGAAAAGACGAGAACAAACGAAGGTCTGTTCTTTAAAAAAAACTCCATGCGTCTCTGTGTAAACACTCAAGTATAGGCCGAAAAGTTTTGTAGAGGTTCACAGAACTAAAAAAAAAAAAAAAAGAGAATCCTTTAATAAGTTATTAGTGTGGAATTAAAACTTTATAGAAGTACTTTAATAGTTGGGAGTAGCTAATATTCCACTTCAAAGGTTTACAAAAACAAACAAACTTTCGGGAATACAAAAATCTAAACTAACTATGAAAATGCTCTTTGGTCCTGTTCCACAACCTAGTGAGCAACCTATCTAAACGACAAGATATTCAAAGATAAATCGTTCTAGTCAAATTCTTAGGCAACATTGCAAGTGTCCTTCACTGATAAAGCAACCCCAGAAAACAGTTTCAGTGGACTGGGTTAAGATTATTATTTTTTTGTCTGTTAGTTTTTCTGCAAAAAATAGATGAAAAGTTCAGTCTAACTAAAATAGACTAAATCTATCTGGACTACTTATTAGAGTATTATCTTAGTAACATGCTAACGTCTGCCTAGCATGCCTTCAGGTGAGGAATCAGCGTTCGCTGTAGAGTGTTTCATACCCTTCACTTAAGCCTAGTTCACACTACATGATTTTAAAATGTCGGACTGAACTGTGCGAAAACTGTTTGCGCGATGATTTGCTCTAAGAAAAAAAAACGCAAAAAAAAAAAGAAAAATTGAGATTTACCCGTTGACCTCAACCCATGCCTTGCTCTGATTGGCTGTAGCTCATGACATCACGTGAGGTTGAGTCATGCGACAGCATGCTAGATATTTTTCTGGGCTTGGCGACTCGTCTGCGAGCGTCTTTGATGCTTTGTTGGCGCTTTCATACTAACCGATTGGCGAGCGTTCATCGCCCGCTAATCCCCCGCGATAATACCCTGACCTGTCGGCGAGCTCAACGATTTGCAAATCAGGCTTAAATTCATGTAGTGTGAACTAGGCTTTATGCGGTTTTATTTGGCTTAGGATTCTTCCTGCTCCTGGATGGCCACTGACCCACAGAGTTTAGCTCTAACCCCAATTAAACACAGTTAATCAGGGTCTTCAGACGAATGAACTTCAGGCAAGTGTGTTGGGACCAAGTTGGAGATTAACTTTCCGGGGCATTGGCCCTCCAAGAGCAGGACTGGACATCCCTGCCTTACGGAATGTTCACAAGAGGGGCTTTCACACCGTCCTGTTTCATAGTTCCTAAAGTCTTACGTAGCCAGACCATCAGACTGACGGCAGACTACATAGCAGCTTTCATTGGCCAAGGACCATTGAGAGGCCGTCTGACTGACATGTAAAGGAACCAATCACAATTTGTAAAATCCAAAGTGACTTTAAAGAGAACAAGCAAGACACGACTATGTTCTAGTCCTAGCGACATTTGGCATCAACCACATGGCAAATGCTACGATACTTGTTTGTATACCGTTTACTTTGTTTAATAGTTATAATGATGTATTAGATAGGGCTGTTAAACAGATCGTAAATTAATGAAGACTTAGAATGGGAGCATTGTGTGCTCAGGCTGGCTTTCTCAGCACCATCAAAAAAAAAACGTCCCATACAACAACGAGAGTGGTAGGGTTTGTACTGGCGGTGCGAATGATACCAGGAAAATGGCCCTAAGGGAAAATATCTCGAGGGACCACCATGGTGGCAAGTTCCTATAGCTGAGTTTTATAACTACCCGGTGTGAAAGCCCCTAAGGACAGTAAAAAAAAAAAATGTAGGTCTCTAATTCTCTGTACTGTATTAGTACTATAGACCCCTTTTGCGCAGACGTCACAGTGCTAGCTGGAGGCAAAACAAAGTGAAAACTGGAGGCGGCCAATACAAACCAGCACAGATTCGGCTACATAATAAGGAGCTTAAATTATTGTTACTATTATTAAATGTCATCTTGTTGTGTTGTTTGGTGCAAGAATTGATGAAAAATGAATATGCTGTATCTGGAATTTTTATTTCTAGAAAATATTCACATCATTAATCACTGTGTCACATCATTATCTCGGCCTTGGCTCGGCAGAACTGCGGATCGTACACACAAGTCTTGTACAGGACCATATAGGCATCTAAAGATTTATATGCCCTCAGTTTCTCTTTACGATCGGTTTCTCTATAAGGTAAGTGTAAAAGTCAGGCCACTCAACCGAGGTAACAGTACTCGAGACTCGGACTCGTCTCGGACTCGGTCTCGAGACCATATTTTAATGGTCTTGGTCTTGTCATGGACTCGTGTGCATTTGGACTCGGAATTGACTCGTACTCGAACATTTTTTTTTTAGGACTCGGACTTATTCCGAGTATATATAATATTTTTCATGATTATTAATGTATGTTAATAAAATATTTCTTTAAATTGATTGACATGCCCAGTGATTGGTGATTTTCTAGTGCGCAACTGCGCATGACAAATTGAAATAAAATTACTTTTAACACAACCTACTATGTGGCCTTTTTACCCTAAACTGATCATATTTTTTAAACTCTGGTCTTGGTCTCGACTCGGACTCGACTCTCTATGGACTCGGTCTTGACTCGGACTCGACTCTCTCTGGTCTCGGTCTCGACTCGGACTCGAGTAAGGTGGTCTCGACTACAACACTGTAACGTACGTTAATCCTGTCAGATCATCCATGCATTGAGTGAGTGTGTAGGCGGCTTCGGGTCGGCCAATCTGGTTCCGTCAGTTAAAGATAACTTTTGGAAATAACAATCGCAGCCCTGGACACTGAGTAACCTTACACTTTAAGATAAAATCGGATTTTCTCCAGTTCATTGTTAAAAAACAAGCTAACAATACTTGCTAACTAGCGTTAGTGAAGTGGCCAGAGGGATCGTTTTGCCTCCACCTAAGCTCCGCCCACAAAAAAACGTCACCATGTGCCAACTGAAAAGGGGTCTATAGGTTCCTACTCAAATTATATCCCTGCATCAATTAACTGATATGAGTTAATGTGCTCTTGATGCCTCCCATCACCTCCCAATTGAAAATTTTAATTCACCGTCCATGTGAACCTTCCAATATAAGGAAGCTGCTTAAGCAAACGAATTGAGAGGGCTTCGCTAGGGTTTGGAACAGAGCCTCTATGATACCACCAACTACTGACATGCTAAGCATACCAGCCAGCATTTCATGGTGGGGCCAATGTAGGCACAATATGTACTTAATAAATGGGACATTTTTCCATTGGTCCCATGCTGGCCCTATTGGAATAAGCCCCTGGAATGGGCCACACATGGGTTTTTATGCTGTGTTCACACCGGACGCGAATAGCGCGTCATATTCGCGCCTGCCATGTCTAGTTTGACGCTTGACCACTTTGTGTTAATTCGCGTGTCAAGAGTGAAACTGACGCGCGTAAAAACAAAAGTTTGAAGCGAAATTTACGCGCGTCAGAATCGAAATCTGTTGGCGGCCATTGTTTTTATGTTGACCGAGCATTCATCAAGAGAGTTACCGCTCTGTATTTACCGCTCTGTATTTACTCTGGAGAGCAGAACAGCGGCGTGGTGATCATCGCCGCCGTATATCTGTGTCCTTCGGACCCTTCCGAGGTGAACCGTTTGGCTAGTTTCATCATTTGCTCGCTCCAGGAGCTGCGCTGGATGACGGCCTCTGTCAGCGGTACACCCGCCTGTCCCGCGCCCAGTTTGATGACCTGTTGTCCCGCATCGGAGCGAGGATCACCCTCGCCCTCATCCACCTAATCTACCCGTATATAGAAATAATGTTTTAAGTGATAAAATATTTGCTCTGTTGTGCATAATGCATTCAGTCATATTACAAAATAATTTATTGAAGCATCAAGACACTTCACCACGTGAGCAAGCAGCTAGGCCCCTGATTGGTTAACGAGGCGCGAATTCACGCCAAAGTTCAGATTTTTCAACTCGGGCGGCAGACGCAAATTCGTGTCAAACGCATGAATGCACAAATGGCATTAACTAAATTGTTTGCGCGTAACGCGCCAGACGTTCAATTTGCACGAACTTGACGCGCGAATGAGGCGTATTCGCGTCTTCCGCGCCGCGCTCCATGCCTCATTCGCGCCGCAGGAATTTTTTACGCGCATAACGCGTCTTTGCATTGATTTAACATTGAAATCATTCGCGCCTGACGCGCTATTCGCGTCCGGTGTGAACGCACCATTACAATGGTACGGTGCTGGTGCTGTTGGAATTATTCCCAGTATGGGCCATCCATGGGTTTTTCTATGTGTTCCATGCTGGCCCTATTGGAATAAGTTTACATTGTGGCTAATTCAGATAGGGACCCATAGACAAACCCATGTAGGGCGCATAACTGAAGCCCATTTCGTGCCTACATTGGCCCCACCGTGAAAGGATTGCGGTCCATCATTACATCAAACAACCAGCAAACTCGATTCTAACCATTTCTCCTGTAGCGAACTAGCACACTTTCAACCGAGCTAAGAGCAAACTTACAAAGCCAACACAAACTGGTCTGAATGACAGATGAAAACAAATGTCAGAAGGAATCACATAGATGAAGACTGGCCTAACGTTTAGTGATACTCTGTAACTGTCAGCATCACACAGCAGACTACATGACCAACAGAGTAAAGCCATGAGACATAATGGGTCGCTGTGGCCTCGATCTACATCAAACAGACGACAAATAAGACAAGACTATGGGGAGGAAGCGCCACTTTCTTCACACGTCTCCGTATCTGTGTGGAGAGAAGAAAATAAAACAAAAGGAACAAAACAGCCTCCCGTGATCAATAGAGTAACTTCAACAATGCAACCTAGAGCATTTTGTAGAACATGTCAGGCTTAAGCTGAGTGGGGAATGGTACCGTTGGCTATACTTGAATGTTTACCCAGCCTGGTGAGTTTGTTGGTGGAATATTAGTTCACATCAATTTTGCGACGGACAATGGAGGGACTCACAACCTGAAATTCACTTCGTAGGCTGCACCCTTAGTCCAGGGCTCTTAGCACTCTGGGGAAAACAAACACATGGTACATTGAAACATATGTTCTTCTGAGAAGTGGGTTAAAGATGATCTGATAAACTGTGACATGAAGAGCAAGAGGAAATCAGAAGCAAAGCAGATTTCAGGGATGCCCTTTGACTATTACGCTAATCGTCTATGTCTAAAAAGAAACTTTTAGAGAGCTCCGGTCCGGTGTCATGCCTAATCCCTTTTGGACCAAAGGGTATCTGTTTGTAATTCCTGATCAGCAATGTCTGTCAGATCTTTCTGCTGTAGCTGTTAGAGCCAGACTTGTGTCCAGTGTCCATATCTAAAAAAAAATAATAATAAGTATAACTAGTATAACATGTTGTCATTTACACTATACTAATTTACCAAATTAAAGGGAAACATCACACTAAACTGTCTGCTAAATGTCTTTATACTATTATGAATAATATGCTTCATAATTATTCTCCAATAATCCTGCATTCACGCTAAAATGAAAACATTGGAAATTGGGAATATTTTATTACAGCTCATAAAGTGGTATGTACTTTCTTTGGTTTTCATGCAATTTATTTTGTGATATAGAGCATGTAGAGGTGAACTTATGTAGTGATGAAGAATTTTTTTGTCAACAACAAAGCCGTACATCAATTCATTTTGGTGTTGCCATAGAAACAAATCATTTCTGAGTCAGTGAATGTGTACAGCTCTGAGTAGCCGTTTTCTCATAATTATGGTAATCCATTCCTGACACAACATTAATGCAGCTTAATATTTGCAACAGATTGTAGAAAAAAAGCTTCTTTCTAGAATCTGTGCTGCAGAGCTGCTTCCATGACATTTACTGTTTAATGATCAGTCTAAAACAAGGGTGTCCAATCTTGTAACTAGAGATCTAGGCTGTGTCCGAAATCACTCTCTATACCCTTATAGGGCACTATTTTAGGGAACAGCCATTTGTAGTGGTTTCAGAAACCTATAGTGGACGTTATCAACTGCACTCATTCAATCCCACAATGCACTGCAATAACGTATTAAAGGGTTAGTTCACACAAAAATGAAAATTCTGTCAGTATTTACTCACCCTCATGTTGTTCCAACCCCGTAAGACTTTCGTTCATCTTCGGAACACAAATTAAGATATTTATGATATTAAGATCACTCCTGCATACTAGTCCATAGGCTTCTTGATGGAATGACTCTTGCTGGCATCGGAAAGTCATTAAAGACATCGTTAAAATCGTCCAAGTGACTACAGTGGCTCAATTTTAACTTTATCAAACGACGAGAATACTTTTTGTGCGCAAAACAAACAAAAATAACGACTTTATTTCAACTATTCACTTCCTTCTCCATGGGCCTGTAGTCAGTTAACGTAGTGTGATTGCGTAGAGCTACATCACACGTAGGCTAACTATTGGCCAACGCTGGTCATGTGTGTGATGCGTGTGACGTACAATAACAGAAGCTTACGCTATTAAACTAGTAACCTGACTCGCGCAGAGGGAGAAATAAACGAATAGTTAAAATAAAGTCGTTATTTTTGTTGTTTTTTTTGTTGTTGTAAGTGTTCTCGTCGTTTGATAAACCTTAGATTGAGCCCCTGTAGTCACTTGGACTATTTTAACGATGTCTTTAATGACTTTTCGAGGACAGCAAGAGCCAGTCCCTCAAGAAGCCTATGGACTAGTATGCAGGAGCGATCTTAATATCTTAATTATCTTAATTTGTGTTCCGAAGATAAACGAAGGTCTTACAGGGTTGGTACAACATGAGGGTGAGTAAATACTGACAGAATTTTCATTTTTGGGTGAACTAACCCTTTAACAATCGATGTATGCTCATTGGCTAGAAAATACCCATAATGCACTGTGAAGGTCGCGCGTCAAATGAATTCCCGCATTTGACCAGATGGCGTAATTTCATACATGTAGAAATTAATTTTTAATTGATTATTAAATTGTTTAATGTAGGTTTACACATAGTTGTCACATTTGCAAAGTTATTAAAGTTAAACCCTAAGCACAAACTATGGAAAAGCGGAAGCCCTTCCCTCACTCGTTTTCATGCACTCCTTTAAGTGGACTATAGTAGTGGACTAATGTAGGGAATAGTGAACGAGGTTATGGGGGCGACTTCAGGCACAGTCCTACCTTACTGCAAAGTTCAGCTCCAACCATGATTAAACAGACATTGGCGTTCAGGAGTACTTGATGATTACAGATCAGGGTTGGATCTGAACTCAGGTAAGTAGATCTGCAAGGACAGGATTGGGCACTATTGGTTTAAAAGGTATGGTAACACTTCACTTGAAGGGGTGTGTATAAGACTGACATGACACCTTCATAATCATGATGTGATACATGTAGGAGGGTTTATGCATGTTTATGACAATTGTCATTCGCTCGTTGCATTTTTAATGAAAATATGACATTGTTTGAGATGTCTTTGTTATAACAACGTGACATTACTAAGACAAGATAAATTGTCATAAATATGTCATAAACATGACATAGCAGATTAATTATCAAACTTAAGAAAGCATTTAGCTTTATGGGTTAACATAACATTGGCTGCCATGAGGCCATTATAACCGTTGTGAATATTTTTCTTGACCTAAAGATTAAAGGATATAATGGCATCATGACAGCCAATGTCAAAACCAATCACATGACAGTTTAATGTAATGTAAACCCATAAAGCTAAGTGCTTTCTTAAATTTGATAATTAATCTGCTATGTAATAATTTGTCATCTGGTTGTGTTGTTTTAGCAATGTCAAATTGCCATGATAAAGACACTGACAGGTTATGATGTATTGGTTTATGTCAAGGTGTCATAACAAAGATATCTCAAATAATGTCATATTTGCATTAAAAATGTCATAATTGAGTGAATGAAACTTAATGACATAAACATGTGTCCTGAGCTGTCTTGTCAGTCTTCTGCACACCCCTTCAAGTACAGTGTTACCAAAGGGATTACTTTGCTTTTTTACTGACCTACACTAAAAAAAGCTGGGTTATTTCACCCCAAATTTGGGTCAAGGATGGACAAACCCAACCGTTGGATTAAAAACTGTTGGGTTTGTCTATATTTGACCCAAATTAGGATCGAAACAACCCAACATTTTATTTTAGAGTGGGCCACGTGTTTCGTGACGTCTTACCCAATGTTGCCACTGTTTCAAATATCTTGGCTTTTTACAATTTTATTCATAGAACTGTTTTCTGTGTTTGTCGTTGTCATTGGCCCACTTCAGGTCCAAGGGCATCCCTGATAAACACCCAAAGAAGAGTGTCACTCACGCCCAGAGGGAGCAGCAGCAGTGCTGGTAGGAGAGGAAAGAGCATTGCACAAGGACATGTGACTAGGACTAGAAACATTGGTTACATCCTGATTTTGACTGGTGGTGGAGGACTGGCGTCTCAAAGCCCCCTGAACTGAAGTCCCGCTCTTGAAGGTGTTCACTACCTCGATCTGCAGGAAGGGGGAGAGAAATACACGGAGCACAGCGCGTCAAAGACGTGACCGATGCTTCGTCACACGGACATGGTTTAGAAGACAATGACAAGCCCTCATCACACATTAAACACTTCATCTTAAATTAGCATTGAGGGTTTGATGGCTTTAGAAAAGTCCTCCTCGCAGCTGCTGCTGATGATGAACGCCTTCACCTTCATGAGCCTCACCACAGGACTGCATCATTACGCCTAGGAGAGCACTGTTATCATATCACATACATTTAACAGGCAATACAATTCACTGTAAATGATTTGCATGCCACTACTAAACTCCAGAATGCAGGTTGTCACATGCGGCGCATTTTATAACAGTAGTCATCCTCTAATCTTATTGGACAAACGGCTGATAAGTAGAATAAGGATGTTTTTCTGTTCACAGCATTTTTACCTGAATTTTCAACCACGTTTGTTAAAGGAGAACTCTGGTGCAAAATGAACCTTTGGTCTAATTACACATTGTTACCTAGTCAACCATTATCTGAGATTTTTTTTCACGATTGCCGAATGTAAATAGTTTTTATCTAGAAAAACAGTAACGCTAGTATAACGCTAGTATATTGGGCATAGAGTAATGCCAAATAAAAATCGCTTGTTATTACCACTAACAAGGCTCAAAATAGCCCCACACTAACACGGTAGCATAATAAGGGTCCCTACATACAAACCGAAGCATTGAGAACTTTGTCAGTGTCCATACAGTTTAATAAGAAGATATTTTATACACACAGTCAACTTCGCGAATACAGGAAGAAGCCATCTTTGAAAAAAAGTCTCTACCAGTCTATCTACGAACGCCGATCCAAGTGCGCTGAACTGTGCAGAATCTCATATGGTCCGTTGTTTCCGGAAGAAACACAAACACGAACCATTTTCTTCTCTGATATGTACATGTAGACTACTGTTCTCGCTTACCTTATCACCTTATTCACATCTCACCACATCTTTATTATAAGAAAACATGGAATTAATTTCCACTGTTACGCTGACGACACTCAATTATATATTTCATCACGACCAGATGAAAACACTAACTCATCTAAAATGACAGAGTGTCTCAAAGATATAAAATGCTGGATGACGCGTAATTTCCTGCTATTAAATTCAGATAAAACGGAGGTATTACTTATTGGTCCAAAAAACTACTCACAAAACCTCTCACAATACAACTTTAATATAGACGGATGTCCTGTTACTTTATCCACAACAGTAAAAGACCTGGGTGTTATACTAGATCGCAACTTGTCGTTCGAAAATCATATTTCATATGTTACAAGAACAGCCTTTTTCCACCTTAGAAACATTGCTAAGCTACGTAACATGCTATCTATTTCTGATGCAGAAAAATTAGTTCACGCATTCATGACCTCGAGACTAGATTACTGTAATGCTTTATTAGCCGGTTGTCCTGCATCCTCAATAAACAAGCTACAGTTAGTACAAAATGCAGCTGCTAGAGTTCTTACTAGGTCAAGAAAATATGATCATATAACACCGATTTTACCATCTCTACACTGGTTACCTATTAAGTTCCGCATCAACTACAAAATACTACTACTGACCTATAAAGCCCTAAATGGTTTAGCACCTATGTACTTAACGGACCTTCTTTCGCCCTACAATCCACCGCGTTCCTTAAGATCACTAAATTCAAGGCTTCTGGTCATTCCTAGGATATCGAAGTCCAGTAAAGGAGGGAGGGCGTTCTCACATTTAGCTCCAAAACTCTGGAATGGCCTTCCCGATACGGTCCGAGCCTCTGACTCGCTGACACAGTTCAAAACTAGATTAAAGACGCATCTCTTTAGTCAAGCATTCACATAATGCTTACCTTCTAGTCCTCTGTTATGCCATACGGAACCGTTTGCCACTGAAACTGCTTAACGCACCAGTGGGGCTCGACAGCCTTTTAGACAAACGGGTCGGCGCGTATGGTTGGGTTGCGGAGAGTTCGGGTTACGGAGAGTTTGTGAGTTATAACGGAAATTATTATGAACATCAGCTATGCTAATTATTTCCCATCTGCCTTTCTGCTGTTATCTCGCGACGCTTGTCCCGAGAAAAATGGCGTTCGTCAGGTCCAGTTTTGTGTCCAGCCTCTCACGGGGATTTCGGATGCCCCAACGCCTGTGATGAGACGACTCAACGCCTGTGATGAGACGACTCAACGCCTGCGATATGTTATGGCGCCGTTTGATTCATAAACAATATTTATATTTAATATTTATATTTAAACAATATGAATGTAAGCCAGAGGAGAACTGGCCCCCGACTGAGCCTGGGTTCTCCCAAGGTTTTTTCTCCATCCAATCTGATGGAGTTTTGGTTCCTTGCCACTGTCGCCTTGCTTTTGGCTTGCTTTGAGCTTGCTCAGTTGGGGTTATTTATTTAGTGTTTAGCAATGTTGTTGATCTGTGTTGTGCTACTTACATGTTATCACTGTGAAGCTGCTTTGATACAATCTGTATTGTGAAAAGCGCTATATAAATAAATGTGACTTGACTTGACCAGCGCACTTGGATCGGCGTTCGTAGATCGACTGGTAGAGACTATTTTTCCAAGATGGCTTCTTCCTGTATTCGTGAAGTTGACTGTGTGTATAAAATATCTTCTTATTAAACTGTATGGACACTGACAAAGTTCTCAATGCTTCGGTTTGAATGTAGGGACCCTTATTATGCTACCGTGTTAGTGTGGGGCTATTTTGAGCCTTGTTAGTGGTAATAACAAGCAATTTTTATTTGTCATTACTCTATGCCCAATATACTAGCGTTATACTAGCGTTACTGTTTTTCTAGATTAAAAACTATTTACATTCGGCAATCATGAAAACAAATCTCAGATAACGGTTGACTAGGCAACAATGTGTAATTAGACCAAAGGTTCATTTTGCGCCGGAGTTCTCCTTTAATGATGTCACGCAGGTGGTAGAGTAATAACTACTTGAGATCGAATTAATGCAAGATGTTTTGGTTTAAATGTTTCAAATGTTTCATACAGTCTATGCTACACTGTCACATGACCTCATTCCGTTATATGTAAGTGGTGTGTAGCTTTTGTCATTGATATCATAATTTATACTTTTGATTAGAACTGTACTGATATTTACACTGCTATTTAGATCTAAAACTCTTTCCGGTTGGGTTTTTGTCATATGAAGGTGTGCCGACAGACGACAGCACATGATTTATGCAAAAGAACAAAAGTGTCGCGATCAGCGCTGATGTGTGTGCCAGTAATGCCAGTGTTTGGCAGAGCTGAGCTGCGGTACAACCTCCGCACGATCTAAATCTGACTATAAAACACACTGCCAGCCGTGCAGATGGTTGAATCTCAAGTACATAATTACAAACACAATTGATGTACAAGTATAAGTACGGTTACTTCCTACAGATGCCATTTCAGTGCAGAATTCATGCAGAATATTTCAGGCAGTCATAACTTTCCAGATTCTCAGTGGGTTTCTAACCTGTGTCTGGATTCTGTTGAGGCCTCTGAACCAGAGGATCTGTCCTCGTCGTAACTCTCTCTCTGTGTAATCGATCTCCTCCTGGTCCTCGTTCATCTCCTCCTCGGCCGTCATCTCATGCTTCTGAGTCAGACGACCAGCTCCTTTGAGGAACCTCAGCTTGCTGTTCGGGATAGTTGATATAACCTGAGCCAGAGAGAGGGTGTGCATGACAGATTTTAGAACAGAACAGCACCAAAAAAAAAAAGAAACTCCATCTTGATAGATAGATAGACAGACAGACATAGATAGATAGACAGACAGACATAGATAGACAGACAGACAGACAGACAGACAGATAGATAGATAGATAGATAGATAGATAGATTCTATCTAGATTCTATATAGATTCTATCTTCTGTCTAGAATGTTGACAGCAGCATATGAATAATGATATTTACATTTACGCAAGCTAGAAATGTACATTCTTATCAGTTCTTGCTTTCCCTGGAAATCGAACCAATGACCTTTGAAGTTGCAAGCGCAAACACTCTACTTTTGCACATGGTAATTGGTAGCATATAAATACAGTTATTCCACATTATAAATCAATTCTATTATTGCAATAATCCAGCCTAGTTCACATGAGGCTCACTGCATATAGGTTTCAGTGAGATGTGGGGGTTAAAGGATTCATTTGAGTTCAGGAGTCAGATAGCTTGTGGGGAGAAAAGAAAAAGCTCATAGATTGTGGAAACATCTGGGGCCAGTTGTTCAAAGGTAAGCTGATCGGATTTTGGTTATCGAATTGGATCAAATCTTGAAAATGGGTTGATCAAAAGGGAAAGAAGGAATCTGAAATCAGATTAGATCAGGGAATCCAATCCTAGTTTTAATCTGGATCAAACCTTCAGTTTGTGTTGTTCAAAACTTGTCAGTGGGATTTGGGTAACTTTGATCCAAAAAAACAGGATTATCCTGATCCCAACAGGGGGTAGCATTTCAAGGTGGATTTCAGGAAGAAAATGTAGTAAAACTTTAAAATTGGTCAAATAATACATTTGTATCATTTAGTATATAATTTTATTTATATTTTGCATTTGACTTGTGTAACCGTTGTAACAGTGATAAAGTAGACGTAGGCTAAAAATTAAGCTATTCAGGGGTGCGTTTCCCGAAAGCATCGTTAGCCAACTATGGTCGCAATTTCCATTGAACTCTATTGGTAACGACGGAACTTGCGACCATGGTTGGCTAACGATGCTTTCAGGAAACACACCCCAGTATAGTAAAGTAATTAAATGAAATAAAAAATATCTTGTCCCCATTTGTGTTTTGTCTCAAAATAAGAAACACTTACAGTGACCCCATGTTGGCTCTTCTACCTGTTCTTTACATAGCTGGTAGCCCACATTGTGATATGTTGTCCCATTTAGAGCACTGGTAATCTTGAAAACTGTGTATCTGGATCAGGGTGATCCAGTCCAATGTTGCTTTGAAAAACCGGCATAAAAGTAAGACGGATTACCTGATCCTGGATAGGAAAAATGGGATTTCCAAATCCGGATCATTTTGATCCAGATTAAATGTTTTGAACAACTGGCCCCTGGGTAACCGTACAGCTGTGGTGCTAAAAAGATTTGAAAGGATATTGAACAGTATTACCTGTCCCCAGACCAGCTCTCCCAGCCCAAGGAAAACACACCACATCCACTTCTCCAGGTCCAGAGGAGAACAACTGAACGGCTTTCCTCCAAACTGAATAATTACAATCTAACAAACAAATGTTAAAATGGAGCTGTGTAGAACTAATAAAGTGGAGTGATGAAGTACATTTATAACTGTTGGAAAGAGCAGGGCACAACATAACATTTACAAAGAGAACATTCAGAAAAAGCATTTTCGTAACTTAAAGCTGCAGTCCGTAGTTTATTTGGGGTTAAAAATAATCCAAAATACGTATTTGAGAAAATACATAACCAGCCAGTGTTCAAAACTCTCTGCTTGCCTTAACTCGATTCAAAGCGGAAAGCTTGTAATAAAGTGAACAGCAAGCTGAGGTTCCTCAAAGGAGCTGATCGTCTGACTGACAGCTGCACACTCTCCTCAAACATTGTGTTCATCCGCGCTGTGCCGTGTCGAAGTACAACTCACGTAGAGTTAATAATTCTGCGAATAACGACAATTCCAGATTTCAAACAGAGATGGCGACAAAGAGGAAAAACTGCGGACTGCAGCTTTAAAGGGGTAGTTCACCCAAAAATGAAAATTCTGTCAGTATTTACTCACCCTCATGTTGTTCCAACCCCGTAAGACCTTCGTTCATCTTCGGAACACAAATTAAGATATTTAAGATATTAAGATCGCTCCTGCATACAGTCCATAGGCTTCTTGAGGGAATGACTCTTGCTGGCATCGAAAAGTCATTAAAGACATCGTTAAAATAGTCCAAGAGACTACAGTGGCTCAATCTTAAGTTTATCAAATGACGGGAATACTTTTTGTGCGCAAAACAAACAAAAATAACGACTTTATTTCAAATATTTACTTCCTTCTCCATGGGCCTGTAGTCAGTTAACACAGTGTGATTGCGTAGAGCTACGTCACACGAAGGCTCACTATTGGCCGACGCTGGTCATGCGTGTGATGCGTGTGACGTACAATAACAGAAGCTTACGCTATTAAACTAGTAACCTGACTCGAGACAGAGAGAGAAATAAACGAATAGTTGAAATGAAGTCGTTATTTTGGTTATTTTTTTGCGCACAAAAGTGTTCTCGTCGTTTGATAAACTTAAGATTGAGCCACTGTAGTCACTTGGACTATTTTAACGATGTCTTTAATGACTTTTCGATGCCATCAATTTTCATTCCCTCAAGAAGCCTATGGACTAGTATGCAGGAGTGATCTTAATATCTTAAATATCTTAATTTGTGTTCCGAAGATGAACGAAGGTCTTACAGGGTTGGGACAACATGAGGATGAGTAAATACTGACAGAATTTTCATTTTTGGGTGAACTAACCCTTTAATGGGAAGCTGGAAAAAATCAATGGCAATTTGTCTGAAAAACCTATTTGAAGAAAAAAGACGTTGTTACCTGAAATGGCGAAAGTGCCGATTACAATGGAGCAGAAGATGGGATTTCTAAAAATTCCTTCAAACACGTTTCTCTCTCCGTGGATCTTGCGGGCGTTGATCTCGTTGAAGAGCTGCATCATGACGAAGGTGTTGAATATGATGGTGTAGTGCTCAGAGGGAGGAGAATGAAGCGGCGCGTGTCTGCCGCTGTCGATGTCAAAGATCTGCTCACCTGGACACAAGACACTATATATCTATATAATCCTATATGCACATCCTACAGGAACGTATATGCAATCATGTCGGAATTACTGTGACTACGAGATTCTGATTTGTAAGTGTAACTTCCTCGCAGAACTCTTAAAGGAATAGTTCACTTCAGCATGAAAATTCTGTCATCATTTACTCATCCTCAAGTTGTTTCAAACCTGTATGAATTTCTTTCTTCCGCTGAACACAAAAGAAGATATTTTGAAGAATGTCAGTGTAACGATGAGGAGGCAAGGAGGAATCCAAATGCAAGCACAATAGTTTTAATAATGATAATAAACAAACAAAAGGGAAATCCCCGGAAAACAAAGAAACTAGAAACAGGAACTCGGAACAAAACTAAGAAAACTCAGAAACAACGCTACAGCGAAACATCGACCGACACCCAACAACTGAAACACAGGGGTTAAAATACACAAACAAGCTAAACGAGGGAACAAGGGGGCGTGGCAAATCAGAAACACCTGGGGAAACTCATAAACAAGAAAAACTACAAAGGACTACAAAACATGGCACAGAACAGGAAATAACTAAAGTCCACGCAAGACAAGGAAAACACAAGACAGGAATCGTGACAGTCAGGAACCGAACACTTGTTGGACCCCATTGACTTCCACAGTATTTTTTCCTACATTTGAAGTCAATGGGGTCCATCAATCTTGTTGCCTGACATTCTTCAAAATATCTTCTTTTGTGTTCAAACAGGTTTGAAACGTTTTGAAGTGAACTAATCTTTTAACTCTTTCCCTGCCAACTTTAAAAAAAAAAAAAAAAAAAAAAAGAAAGGTTGCCAGCCACCGGCAGCGTTTTTGATCATTTTCACAAAAGTTTCATGGCCCCCAGAATATTTTATTGGATGAATATCTGAACAACATACAATATATCAAAATAACAGAGCCACTGCCTTTAAACAATCAAACAAAAAAAGAAAAAATCCTTCTAGCTTCTTGAATTTGTTTTAATCAAAATTTTATGTGGGTAAGTTTCGTAAAAAAAAGCAACATTTTGAACAAAAAGCTGAGAAAATCAAGTGTTTTTTTTTAACTAAAACGTGCGTAAGCAATGACCGATTTTGTTTTTCTTCATAACCGATTCCGATACCAATTATTTCCAGATTTATGTGGCCGAGATCGCGTGGGGGACTGAATCGAGATGGCGATCTTTCACCGATTCCTTCACATGATCTGCAGATCGAGAACGCAACTTACCTGCAAACAGCAGCGTGAAGATGATGGTGAGCTGGTACACACCGTGGCCCAGTATGTTCTTGGTCATGGTACTGGAGATCAGGGGTTTGTTCCGGCCGTAGGGTTTCCTCATCAACAGAGACTCAGTGGGCGGTTCGGTGGCCAAAGCCAGAGATGCGAACGTGTCCATGATCAGGTTTACCCACAACATCTGCACTGCTTTCAGAGGAGAATCCTGAGAGAACAACAAACGATCTGCTTAAAACACGACGTTTAGAGCAATGAGACATGCTGAACTGGGACAAATGTTATTTTCCAGACAGGGGTGTGTTTTCATGGTAACACTTTACAATACGGGTGCACTAATATGCATTAATTCATGCTTAACTAATACACAGATAGAGAAGAACTAAACCATTAATTAATGATTACTGCATCAGCAACTAATAAAGAGTCTACATGATTAATAGATTAAGTAATACATGAATTGCTATTAATTCAATGTGTCATTGTGTATTAATTCCTTAATAACATATTTTATTAAGTAATAGTGTAAATTAACATGTTAATTACCACAATTAGTCAAAGCTATGCACTTCAACTTCCAGTTGTCTGCTTTAATTAATCATTAGCTAATGATTTGCAAAGGTATCATTATGTTATGACTTTACTTGTTGAGGCACATCATTATTAACTAGTTATTTAGTAATTGTAGTAATTTGCACATGAATTTGCACTAACAATGAAGCAATTAATCATGTATTAATGCATATTAGTGTAACTGTCATATTATCTGGAAGTTGAAATTCTGGTAATTAACATATTAATTGACACTATTAGTTAAAAAAATGTGTTATTATGGAATTAATCCACACTTACATATTTAATTAAGAGTCTGTAACCTTACAGACTCTAAATTAGTTCATTATGTGGTAATCATTAATGAATAGCTTAGATAATCATTAGTTACACATTAATTCAGTATTATCTGTGCAAGCATGAATTAATGCTTATTAGTGCAACCGTATTGTAAAGTGTTACCGATGTCATGTATAATTTATAGCAAAACATTTAGCATTAATTCGATCTCAAATAGATTCATTTAAAGTAGTTATTACTCCAACACATGCGTGACATCATTAACCAACGGGGTTGATTTGTGCCAATATGGTTTCAGGAAACAGTCGTGACTAGCTAGGTGATTTCTTCAACGATGCATCGTACTATGATAGTCGTCAATGTGTGTCATAATATTGGTTAAAGACTCTGAGATCTTGAAAGTGAGATTGAGTACGATTGAGTGTCCTTGTTCATCTAACACTCTCTGGACATTCATTTCTCATCAGGGTATCTTCACACAGTCTAGCCTTGTTCTCTTGAAGTGCTGCATCATTTATTAGGTTAGCGATCCTCTAGGAAATTAAACAATGCTATTTTAGATCATAGGGATGAAGTCTTTGGCCTTGGCCTAGTAATCTAATATGGTTTCTTTGCCAGTGCCCTATGTCTCTCCGTAGTCTAATTTGAGATTTCATAGTAGGTCAGATCTATGGTCTTGTCAAAGGCGTCTCATATGTGTTAGCAGTGGTTTCAAAGTAACGAAAATGATAGAAAATTGAAAGAATAACGAAAGAATAACGAAAAGTGTAGAAAGTGCTTAAAAGGATACACAAGCGAGTGTTGGATGGATGTAAGACGCTTGATGGAATATTCATATCCGTAATACAAATAGTGCCGGATCAGTTATAAGACCGTTCAATAGTTTGAGGTCAGTAAGATTATTGATGTTTTTGAACATCAAATTAAAAACAGTGAAATATTACTACAATTCAAAACTGTTCAAAGCTGTTTTCTATGTGAATATATAGTAAAGTGTGATTTTATTTCTGTGATCAAAGCTGAATTTTTAGGATCATTACTTTAGTCTTCAGTGTCATATGATCCTTCAGAAATCACTCTAATATGATGATTTTATGCTCAAGAAACATTTGTTTAATATAAGTGTTGTATAAGTTTTTTTTTTTTTTTGGAAACGGTGATATATTTAAATTGTCAGGATTCTTTGATGAATTGGGGGGGGGGGAAGCATTTATTTTAAATGGAAATCATTTGTGATCAATTTAATGCAAGCTACCAAAAAAAAAAAAAAAGAAAGAAAGAAATCGTACGGACCCATGGTACTGACAAATCCAAACCTTTAAAGGGTAATATATGTGCTGAGGTTTAAAGGGTTAGTTCACCCAAAAATGAATGTCGTTCCAAGCCCGTAAGACCTCCGTTCATCTTCGGAACACAGTTTAAGATATTTTAGATTTAGTCCGAGAGCTTTCTGTCCCTCCATTGGAAATGTATGTATACTGTCCTTGTCCAAAAAGGTAATAAACACATCATCAAAGTAGTCCATGTGACATCAGTGGGTTAGTTAGAATGTTTTGAAGCATCGAAAATACATTTTGGTCCAAAAATAACAAAAACTACGACTTTATTTAGTTTTGTTTTTTATAAAAATATAATTAAAAAAAATTAAATTGCTGTATTTGAATTCTGTGAACCGTTACACCCCATAGAAAACTGTCATTAAGCGTAATTCACTCAGTTATGACATTTTTAATGCAAATATGACATTGTTTGAGATGTCTTTGTTATGACACCTTGACATAAACCAATACATCATAACCTGTCAGTGTCTCATGACAACTTGACATTACCAAGACAACACAATCTGACATAAATATGTCATAAACATGACATAGCAGATAAATGATCAAACTTAAGAAAGCACTTAGCTTTATGGGTTAACATTACATTAAACTGGCATGCGGGTGGTTTTGACATTGACTGTCATGAGGCCATTATAACATTTTAATGACAAATTCAATTTGTACCACTGTAGTTGAGGTCAAGAAAAATATTCAGCCTCATGACAGCCAATGTCAAAACCAAACACATGACAGTTTAATGTTAGCTAAGAGGTTTCTTAAGTTTGATAATTCACCTGCTATGTCATGTTTATGACATAATTATGACATTTTATGTTGTCTTAGTAATGTCAAGGTGTAAGAAAGACAATAAGACAATAAGAAAGACATCTCAAACAATGTCATATTTGCATTAAAAATGTCATAATTGAGTGAATGACACTTAATGACAGTTGTCATAAACATGCATAAACCCTCCTTCATATTTATGACATGTGTCCTGTGATGCTTATGAAGATGTCATGTTGTATTATTTTCCTGTTATCACCGTAAAGCTACTTTGAAACACTCTGTATAGTAAAAAGCACTATATAAATAAAGGTGACGACTAGTTATCAAATAAAAGCACACTCAGACCTGTGTGATACAGGCTCCGGTGAAGGCCACGATCACGGCCACCACGTTCACGGTGAGCTGGAACTGGAGGAACTTGGAGATGCTGTCGTAAACGTTACGTCCCCACATCACGGCCTTCACGATGCTGGAGAAGTTATCGTCGGTCAGGATGATGTCGGACGCCTCTTTGGCCACATCTGTGCCTGCGATTCCCTGCCGAGACACAAGCCCTCACATCATGACAAAAATCATACATTCATTCATTCACTAATGCTACCATGACCAGGACATGCCGAACCATAAACAATATGCATTACAAAACATTCCACAAAACCTGGTGCAGTCATCTATTTTTTTTTTCTAAGTCAGTTACCATACATAAAAAGGTAGATCTGTCTTATTTAAATAGGAAAATTAATGCAACTGGCCCCAGGTCTTTTTTTTTTTTTAGCCCAACGTCAAAAGAGAATTGTCTGCACATGAACCTTTTAGGGCTCCCATCATTTTATGGATTTAGTGTGTTTTGGGCTACACTTTATTTTAAGGTGTCATTGTAGTTTAATTATATATTTAAGTACTGAGAAATATTAAGCAACTACATACTAACTATAGGGTTAGGGTTTGGTTGAGGGTTAGTTGCATGTAATTATGTATAATTTACTGTTATTACTATGGTAAGTACATATAACATATGTAACAAGGACACCTTAAATAAAGTGTTAGCGTGTTTTATTTTAATTCAATTTTTATACTAAGTCAATTTTATGAACTAAACAGATTGTAAAAATACTTTATCACTAGGGCTGGGTAATAAATATTGATTTCTCAATATTAATCGATTCTCATTTTTACGAACCGATATCGATTCTTAACTCTCAGGAATCGATCAGTCATCCTGTTTCATTTGAATGAATGGAACATTGTATCGCAGCTGCGCGCATCCAATAAATCGTAATAATCTTTGTCCTTTGTTACTATTATTATGAAATAAATTCTCAATTTTCAAATTACGTCCATTTTCTTTAGAAATTCAAAAACATAAATAGCGTTTTGGCGCTGTGGCGTGAGATCGCTCTGGCGGAGCTCAAGAGAAGCAGCAGCACTGATCTCTCTTCCGGCTTAATAATACCAGTTACAGCGCGAAATAAACATGAATGAGCATCTGAAAGTATGTTAACAGATAGAGGACAACTTATCAAAATCCGTATAATGTCACATTGATTCGCTCAATCAGTGTTTCAACCGTGGAAAGACGTCAGTTAAACAGCTTGTAATCAATGTCATGTATCGTCATATTTACCTCAGGAAACCCACATCAACTCGTTAGTCAGCTAGAAAAAATAACTCTAGAGAGGAGCATTTTGCTAAATATATACACCATATATTACATATGTATTATAATCTTAATGTTCTTCAATATTTAATGCATATTTGAATAAATATGGCAAGTTTTTATGACAGCCACCATTTAAATGTTTATAATTCATATAATCTTCTTATTATAAAAATAAGTGTAATTTAAGTGTTTGTATAGCTACAAAACAGTTCATTATAACCTTCATATTAGGCTAATGAAGCCTAGGCTACAACTAGACTCCCATAGTTTACAGCATTAGTTAAGAGATTTGATTTCCTTGAGAAAATTCGCCATTTATTGTAACTGCTATCCAAAATAATCAATATTGAATCGGATCGAATCGGAATCGAATCGAATTGCAAGCTTGTGAATCAAAATCGAATCGAATTGTGAAATTTGTGTCAATACCCAGCACTATTTATCACTAGAAAAAAAAAACCCATTAAACATGAAACTATAAAGCAATAATTTGAGACATTTTCCTTTTTATAGAACCTTTTTGGTGTAAAGTGTTCTTTAAAACTTAGTCTAGAACTAAACGGAAGTGATACTGAATAGATGAAC